CACCTCCCCCCTCCTTTTTTTTTTTTTGCCAAAATTCATTTTAGAATAGTATTTTGATTGAGAATGTGTGGTTAAAAAATAAAGAAAAGTTTTAGGTTTGTGTGTAATATTATTATTGAAAAATGTATGATTGAAAATAAGAGAGAGAGAAATGTATTTTGAAAATAATGAAGATAAAAAAAAGCTAAATAAGCAGAGAAAATAAAATAATGACCGAAAGATTATGTAACAAACAAAAGAAACATCAAAGAGAGAGAGAGAGAGAGCAAAACGAAGAGTCGACCCGAAAACAAGAAGAAAGAAAAAATATAAAATAAAAAGTCATGAATGTATTACAATCTACTCTCACGCTTTGAAGAATACAATTTTTTTTTTTTTTAGAAATTTTATTTATTACTTATAAATATTAAATATAATAAATTTTTTTGGCCCTTATCAAAGTGAGCTTTAGATGATCGCCTACTTCGTTTATGGTCAAGGTGAGCATTGGCACCCACTGCAAATGCCCTATCAGGGAAAATTCAGAAAACACGCCTCAAGAATATGCCACTTCAAATTTAGGAGAACAATTTTACAAATCCAAAATTCAGGTGATAATATATTAAAGTCACAATTATACAATTTATGATCTTAATTACGCACTTATAGGTCACAACTTATTTATTGGTCACGAATTATTTTTTAGTTATAAGTAAAAAAAATTACAGTTCACAATTTATTTATCAATCACAAATCACAATTTATTTCTCGATCATAAATTATTAAATTAGTTAGTCACAAGTTTTTTTTTTTCCATTCACAAATTACCACTGGTTACAAATGAATTTTTAGATAACATATTATTTTATTGATTACAGATTATTCATTTTATGGGTCATATATTATTTATTGATCACGTTTTAAATAGTTGGTCACAAACACTTCACATCCCACCCCACTACCAATCTCACCATCGACACCAATACTTGGTCACAAATAAATCAAATAGTTGATTACAAATACTCTTCATTCCACTCCCAACCTAATCCCACCACACCACCATTAATTGGTTACAAATTACCAAAATAGTTGGTTATAACAAACACTCTTCACTCCACCCTAAATAATTGGTGACAAACACGATATCCTATCCTAATCTCAACCCCACCACTAACACCAATCAATTGCCGGCCACCTCACCACCACCGCCTCCAGCAGGAGCAGCAACACCACCACATGCACCCCGCCGGAAACACCACCACCACCACCACTATTTCCAACGAATTAACACCACCACTACCACCATTTTAACCGTACCACCACACATAATCCACTTCCATACACACAAAACACAACATATACTCACAAATCAGCACACATACATCATAGATTGTGCCATCGTCACTCAGCATAGATCGACCACCATTGTCACCAACAACCACATTTACCTCACCATCGCCACCACTCGTACCAACAACCATCACCACAACCTACATCGCACGAAAAACCTTCAACACCACAACAAACAAGATGAGGAAACAACATAGGTATATTATAAATAAACCTATCGTGAGGGAGACAACAGAGATACATTGCTACGTTGGAGAGAAGTCACCGAAGAAGACCGCTGCGGGAGTGAGAGTAGAGAGAGAAGTAAGGGAGAAATAATTTAGGGTTTGGGACTAAAATGGGGTGAATGTGGTGGGGTTGGGTAATTGGGTCATGAATATTATTATTATTATCATCATCATCATCATCATCATCATCATCATCATCATTTGATTTTTGAACTACAATCTTTAAAAACCTGCCTTATTGTAATTTCCTCTACCCTATCCTCCCAAGCTTGCCTCCCAAGCCAACAAACTCCCAACATAAATTTTACCCATTATCTCCTTCGATAAAATTTATTTTTATACAACACTTGCACAAGGTAGATTGACAGATATTTAACTGACCCACAAGACTCGAAATTCATCTACTTCAATCAATGTTAATTTCCAAGAACTTCACGAGATTCACAATTTTTAAATAACAAAAACAGCTAAAATTAAGTAAATTAACAATTCAATCTACCCCAACATAGGGCAGTACTATGATCTAATTAGGCAAAAGCATACCTCTGATGGAAGTCTAGAATGGTTGATCAATGCATCCATTCTATTTCGAAACTATAGTGATACTTCCCTGAATTCTTTATCGTGTAGCGTGGACTACTCTCGAATCCCGACCGAGAATTTAGCAGAAACTACAAATCAGGGAACCATTCAAGCTTTTCGTTTTGGGGGACTAATGGCTGCAAGTTTGTATATGCATATGCATATGATGAGGGTTCATTACTGACTTGTAATGCAAGTAACTTGTCAAAATTCTTCCAATCGCTATACTGATTATCATACTTCCTCTTCTTATCTCCTATGTCTTCACTGCAACCTGTAGCACTGTGCTCGGAACTTTCTTTGTTCCAGGGGCAGTCGAGTTTTGGAAGCTCAAGGGAATCATCGATGACTCGTGGTGCAAGTAACTTATCAAAGTTCTTCCAATCACTGTATTGATTATCATAATTTCTCTTATCATCTCCTGTATCTTCACTGCAGACTATAGCATTATGCTCAAAACTTTCTTTCGTAGCAGAAATTGAGGGGCTATCGCATTTCGGAAGCTCGACTTGCTGATACTCGAAACGAGTACAGTTGGATATTAGGTGCTGATCTGCAGCAAATGGTGAGGGGTGAAAGTTTGTTCCTTGATTAATTGGATCAAATGTGTGCATTCTATTTGGTGTACTTGGATAAGATGGAGGCCCATAACTGCTGTCATAGTAAGAATTATTCCAGGCTTCAAAACCTTGTTTTTGACTTGGAGTCCGTTTCTTGAATGCACGACAAACGACCCATCCTTCTTCCTGCAAGACGGAGAAATACAACCGCTAATCCTTATTTTCAATGAATTTAGGATGACTACCAATTGCCTAAATTATGCCAAGGAGAAACACGTGTTGATGGGGCTAAGAAATGTATGTGTAATACCCTATATCTAATCAATTTTGAATATAAACACTTTTAATATATATATATATATATATATATATAATTGGAGCAATTTTGTGGCAGATTTATTATTTAATTAAATTAAATAATAGTGCTCATATATTCAAATTTTAGTCATTTGTTAATCACAAGGAGTTGTGATTACGAAATACAAATTACAATATGATTGAATCTTAAATTATTTGTGGTTGTAAGTAAATATGAATATCGTTATTATAAATAGACCATCATATAGGGTATTTTCTTACTTATAAAGTAAGTAAGTTAAAGTATGGTGACACTTAAATGTGTTGATTAATAGTTGATTATAACCTTAAAGTCCTAATTATAATAAACAAGTTAATTTTATTTACTAACGAGTTGAATTTAAATGATTATAATTTTTCAAAGCATGAAATAAAAAATAGATCGATGATCGTCAAAAGATCAAAAGCTATCACCACAAATCGAAATCATGAAGGAAGTCAAGATCGAAGTCACACATTCAAGAACTTATAACCAAATTTTAGAGCAAAATCAAAGACTTGACTTCTTAAATAAAATGTAAAGGTACTAACACTTTGACACATGACAATGAATGCTTAAACTCAAAACCCTTCCATACATTAAAACTAATTTTGTGCATTAAAAGTCATTCGAATGCAATGATTTGGTTAAATGTAAAAATAATTTTTGAAAGTGATATTTGGACTTGAAAAACACTTTTTATCTTGAAAAGTTAGTTAAAATACTCTCCAAAAGTCCATACCTTTCAAAACTTTCAAATCGGAACAAATGGGGTCAAAACGTAAAAACATATCGAACTGCACGGCGGTTGATCACATATTTTCAATGATCCAAAATTTGACCGTTCTGACCTATGATTTTTACTGTACAAACGGCTATATTGGTCATCCAAATAAGAGGCAGTCGATCGGACGAGTCATCCGAACCCTCGAATTTTTTTGACATTTTGAACTCTTTAAATACTTGTACTTCTTGCATCCAATACTACATTCTTCAAGAGTATCAATAAGTCGAAAAGAAATTTTCGACTTACATTGACTAAATAGTGGGATGAATGATATGATCGATAATTGAGATTGACATACATTCATATCTCATAATTGATCTGATCATATTGATAAATGGATTATAATTTCACAACAAATGAACAAGTTTGATTTTGCCATACAATGTGACATTTTTTATCACATGTATTGTACTAACACATTACAAAATGTCAATCTAGGTCGACGGATGTGAATTAATGATAAATTAAAAATGGGCATTTTAATTATTTTGATTAGATCAAAATAATAATTCACGTCGTTAGAATTCGTGATCGGGAACATAATGGGTCACATACAAAAGGAGAATCAGAAGAATGAGATTCACTAATTAAATAATTAAATAACAAGTATTGTACAATTAATGAATTGAGTTGCTTGTTAGTATGTTCGAATTAGTTAATTGGATTAATTAATTCATGTATCAAATTTAATTAATTGAATTAATTAAATATTGGATCGTGTTACATTTAAGAAACGAGTCAAGTCTATTTTGACTTATATTCATAAGCCATTAGGATTTGAGAAAATAGAATAGAACAATATATATATACTTGTTCTCTGTGTGGATTTTCATTTGAGTCTAGACAATTGGACAACTTTGGATTGTAAATTGTGATTGTTCATGTTTCAAGATTAGTAAAAGAGTTTGGAAAATCTACAAAAAATATATTTCTTTATCATAATTTCTCTCTAAACACAAAGCAGATCTTTGGTGGAAATTAAAAAATTTGTTTATATTCTGCTGTTCATATTAAGTAAATTTCCAACAGTAGTATCAGAGCCTACATTGTGCTTGTTAAAACTATGTTGCATGTTTGAACAATCAAAATTTGATTGTTGATTTTTTGTTTCTAGCAATTTAATTAAAAAAAAAAGGTTAAAAAATGAATCGGTTAGAAGTCGACGACCACTACTGCCTCAACACGGGCAAAGGCGGAAAGCTCCCAGACTGCTTCGCAATGGCAACATTTCTACCTTGTGCGACGCTTGAGTACATGCAGCAGCAATGAGCGCTGCTATAAAGTGCAACACGGTGCTACTTAGCAACCTCAGTCATATATTTTCTCTTGTTGTTGCTGCTGTGGCAGTGCATCGTCGCTGTTTGACAGTAACGACACACCACTATTTAATCCACACCAGTAGTGGCACTGGTTGTTGGTGCTAGTTGTTAGCGCCGCAAGGGAATTAAATTTTTTTTAAAGGTTTCGAGTGGTTTGGTTTGGGACAGGGGGTCTGTGTTGCAATTTATGAAATTGCAGGCCATGCCTGCAATTTTATCTCTGGTCAATTTGCAATTTATTTAAAGAGGCCTCTCTCGCAATTTATGAAATAAGTTAAATGTTTACTTTGACCCTGAATTGAATTTTATTCTATTTAGGAGTCTTATCCTAAATTAAAATGTTAATTCAATTGCAATTAGAGTTGGAATCTAATTTAGTATTTAATTAAAATTTGATTTTAATTAAATTATTCATCCTAATATATTCTCAATAAGGTTATGGATAATTAGTAGAGGATTCGTCACTTTTAGATAGTAAGAGATTATGATTTACATTTCATTCAATTAAGTTAATAACGAAATTATTGGCCAATGTGTAGTCATAAGTCTACAATGATTTTTCGACTTAAGTTGACTTAATAATGAGATGAAAAATATGATCGATAATTGAGATTGACAAATATCCATATCTCGAAATTGATCAGATCATATTGACGAAAGAATTATAGTTTTATGATAAATGAATAAGTTTGATTTTGCCATATTATGTGACATTTCTAATCACATGCATTACTAAATGTCAATCTAGGACGACATATGTGAATTGATGATAAATTAAAAATGAGTATTTTAGTTAATCGATTTTAATTAGATCAAAATAATAATTCAAGTCGTTAGATATTGTGATCGAGAACCTAATGAATCACACACTAAATGAGAGTCATAAGAATGAGATTCACTAACTAATTAATTAAAAAGTGTTGTATAATTAATTAATTGAGTTTCTTATTAATATGCCCGAATTAATTAATTAGATAAATTAATTCATTGACCAGATTTAATTAATGAAATTAATTAAATATTGAACCGGGTTACGTTTAAGAAACGAATCAAGTCCACTTGAACTTATATTAATAAGCTATCAGTGTTTCAGAAAACAAAACATGACAAAATTCCTATTTTTGCTAGTATAAAAAAAGAGAAACCCTAATTCTCTCATTCATGTTTTCTATGTGAATTTTCATTGAAGAATGAATAATTGGACAATTGTGAATTGCATATTATGATTGCTTGTATTCTAAGATTAACAAAGGAGCTTGCAGAATTTACAAAATATATAATTTTTTTTTATTACAAACACAAAGCAAATCCTTGATGAAAATTGAAAATCTTGTTTATATTTCATTAATATGAGTAAATTCTCAACAACAAATACGGTAAAGGGCAACATGGGTTGTCCCTCCAATTAGCATTTTCAACCATGGAAAGTGCTTTAACAGAAAAATGGTGATCACTTTTCAAACCATTACAGATAATTAAAGTTCTTCCAAAAACTGGGCCCCCTTTGAAGGGATACCCTATATTTTGGAACTAGTGAAGCACCTCTGATTCAAAGTTTAAATTATTAAAGACGAGATAAATTTATTTTGACATGTAAATAATTTTTATAGATGTGTACTGAAATTTGAAAAAGTTCAATGTCCTAGAATCAAGTTCGCTCACCACCATCCATTATTTAAAATGGTGCATGTTTCAGGTATTCTAATATGCAAGTGAGACTAAAGTCAAATAAATATATGCATCTTTCTCTAACTCTCTAACATCATAGCTTTTTTACGGGATGCGGTTAAAACAAAAATCCCTTTTTCTAAACAGGGTTCCTGCAAAGAATTCTGGAGCTGAATTAATTACCTGAGGGGGTCCATTTTCAGAATTCTGGAGACTATATTCATGCATGATCCAATCAGTGTTCCTTCCATTTGGTGCACGTCCTCTGTAAAATACTAAGGTTTTCCTCATTCCTATAATGCTGTCCTTTGAAACTACTGCTTTGTCTCTTCCTGTTGCTTTCCAAAAACCAGCAGCAGTGGCTCTATTAGTTCGAGTTCCAGTCGGGTATTTCCTGTCCTTGTGACTGAAAAAATACCACTCATTTTGCTCTTCATATCCCAACTTGCAACTGCCTGTAATATGCCAAATGAGACTATTCATGATCATGTAGCCAAGTGTGGTTGTGCTTAAAAGTAGGCTTTTTTTTTTTAAAAAAAAAAAGAAGTTCTAGACTTAAGAGAAATCGCGGATATCTTATCAAAATGCCATGCTAAAGGTTGGAAACCTATTTTATCTAAATGAAAAAAAAAAATCAATAGACAAACTTTTTTTTAGTAAATCAATTGCCAAATATTTTTCTAAAATGATCAATATTGTTTTATATCTTATAGGCACAAATGTTCAATTTTCATGAGAGTACCATTCAGTTGAATCCAATTCAATTGTTTCCTTATTCATCCATTTGAAATTTTCATGTTCCATCAATTTTTGTCTAAAAAGATAGGGCTAAGTGTCATGTGCAGGCAAGAAATTACACTTTAAAATAAGAACTTGTTCACGGAACAATTATAGGTGTCGGGTTGGTAGCACCTATGTGAGTGATTTTTTATTTTTTTAACTGTTCAATCACAGATTGACACATTTGTTTTATATAAAAAAAATCATGTCAAAGTCTACTAGCATGATTCTTAAAATAATGTGTGGAAATTGAATATGTTGCATGGAAATTAGAAAACCAACATAGAATTCAGTGATCCCAAAAATAATCCCAGCATTCATTCTAGTTTGACGAGATAATCAAAGAATACTTTCTAAATGAATTAGGAGATTAGTCAAATCATGAACGTGTTACTCCATACCCATAGTTCCCTATAACACTAATGCTGGTCGGCCAGGGTCAGTGACCGACCAGAATCCAGGGCCCCTGATTTGGAAAAAAAGGGCCCCACATGAATTCAAATCAATGACCGAGGTGCATCCACCTCGGCCTCCTGGATTTGAGCTTGGATTTGGCCTTCGATGAGCAGCATTGCTCTCCCTATAATGCATACTGAATTTGAAAATAATAATTAATCTCTTTTGGAAAGTTTAATTTGACAATTGCCATTGAATCTATCTCACTAAAAGGTTAAACAATATAGATATTTATTTATTTAAATTTAATTTTCAACATGCACATGCAAACTTGATATATATTTCTTCAAATGCGTGATACTCGCAAAATCTTCATGAATGAGTGTCACTCAAACTTGATCTTATTGTTGGAGAAAATCAATAGTCTTTACCGTCATAAGATCGTTCATGTTGGATCATCAAGAAATAATTAACCAAAATCGTAAGCGTACTTGGATCAGACATGATTATCGCAATGAATAAGTCCTGCGGTTTCAGTATTTTGAGAAAAGGCCATCTATTTTCTAATAACCAATGATTCAATCGATCCTAGCGAGTTTTATTTAAACAATAGAGAAGAACAGCCACAGTTAGTTAACTCCGGGATCAGACTCTTAAAATAAAACTGACAAAAAGAAAACCCTAGTAAAATATTCTGAATATTAGAAAAAATAAAATATTTTCCTTTGACCCACAAAACAATGGAATTTTTCCAGATCAGAGATCATGAATTTTGCTCGACGTGTCTGCTTGAAAAAAGAAGGATCGATCATTTGCTCAAATCTAGTTTACTGAGAATTTGCTTTGGGTTCCTGAACTTACTATCATGCAAATCTATATGTCCCTTGGATGTCCCAGGGCTCCATTCCGTATAGATCAATGTCAATTATGACACATATGTACCTTGGATGTCCCAGGGCTCCATTCCGTATAGATCAATGTCAATTATGACACCAAGATCAATTTTCTGGGAATTAATCTTTCTCTTGAGGTAATAACCCACAAGCTCTTCTTCTGTAGGGTGAAATCGAAAACCAGGAGGGACACACGAATTCATTTCCATTCTTGAACTTTCCCTGGAAAAGAATGCAGATAATTATGTTAGAGAAATCATGGTTGAAGGTAGACGAGACAATACTCGATAATTAGCAAAATTTTGACTTACTTTTTCTTAGTCTAGAAAAGAACGCGGAATATTAGATAGTGCAGGTCACTAAGGAAGATCTAAGTCTATATGTTTGAGTACGTTTTACATATAAGATGATACTGGACAGACAATTACAGAACTGAAGACATTTTCCATCTTTTTGATTATTATAACATCAAAAAGCTACTTTTGGAAGACATTGCGGTAGATGAAATGAAGAAAAAAACTCAGAAAAAGAGTAGAATTCACACAAACCTGTCTTGTGAATTTGTCATGATTTCATTCAGATCCATTCGTGAGCACAAAAAAAAATTGTATGATGGGGTCGTTTGGCCCAAATTTAATTATTTAAGGAAAAATGGCAGACCAAAGGTGGTTGTCCACTCCTGGCTAGAGAATGATTCTTGAAACATAGGCCGATGGCCAATCCCCTTGTTTGCATGTTGTAATTAGACAAAGTATATGAACACACAAGTGGGCGTATCAATTTGACCTTTGTAGACATTAGACATGTTTTATTTTTCTTTGAGTACATTCCACTCCACGCCTCATGGTTCAGAATATTTTTTTCACACCCAACTTGTAATTATGATGTTCATACAACAATCCTTGTACTCGTGTACTAAACAAAACCTTAAAGACTCTCGCTTCACAAGCGTGCGTGTGCAAAACATTTGCTGAAAACTCACAAGTGCTCAAGCACAACATGCATATTTAGGTCGATCATCTAAAAGTTTTAAAAGTTGTTAGATATGTGACAAATTCGTTTATTTAAATTGTATATTCAAAGTTTTCAAAATTTCATAAAAATGTAGAGACAAGTCTTGAACACATGGTATTTGTCTACAATGAAAAAACATAACATGGGTTAAATTTTCTGCAACAACTAGCAGAAAGCACAAGAGTTCTTACTATGGATTAAGCTACTTATAAACACAAAGTATACATTTTGATTGACACCCTTTGTGTGTTAAAAATATGACAATTAATTGAAAGAGGTATTGTAAAAAATTAACATACCAAAATCTGACAACTCACGTGGATGTAAACCAATGCGTCCCTTTATGTACATATAGCATGATCCTCTTAATATAAGTGTGTGAGGATGTGGGTGTATATATAAATACTATATAAATAGATACACACAAAAACAAAAAGGACACAAGAAAATACTAACCAGAAAGATCAACCTTCTTGTGTTGCTCGTCTTGAGAGAGAGAGAGAGAGAGAGAGAGAGAGAGAGAGAGAGAGAGGAGAGGGGGGGTGGGTGGGGGGGGGGATTTGTTAGAAGTTGTTGAATATGGTGTTGGCAAGATGGGTACATTTATATGATAAGAGGGTGTGTACGGAACTTTGAATATGACAGCATTAGGGTAATTCTTCCATTTTCATTTTAATACAAAATGCAGCTAATAAGAGAGATGAAAGGATTATATATACATTATTATTGATTGCGCGTGGGAGGGGAGGTGGCAGCAGATTGGATTAAAGGTGTCACCCAGTTTCTACGCCAACGTCCCCTCACCGTTATAGTGTGCCGTAAGGTTTTTCCCACTAATTGCCCGTCAAATTCGTCGAATATTTTAGGAAAAATTGCAGTCACGATCTCAAACTTTTTCATTTTTTGCAGACTTTACATCAACTTTCATTTTGTGCTACCACTGCCCCCAAACATTTCAAAAATATGCAGTAGACGTCCAAATGGATCATTTGATCGTTAGTCAACCTGAAAAATTTTAAAAATGGAATATTTTGACCATTTTAAGGAGGGGTATTTCCGTCCATACAGTAGTTTTCCTTTAAAAACAATAAATAAAAGAAAAAAATCACCATCTTCTTCAAACCCCAATCCCACCCCACCCACCACCAAAATCCTGCCGCCCACCTCAACTGTGGCTATAGCAAACGCCACCACCATGGCCACCATCTCAAACAACAATTTCTACACTATAGACCCAACAATTTTCTTCTAATTGCTTGAAACAAACCACATTTTCCAAGCCAAAAACATGGAATGAACCCAGCAACAGGATGCACTTCCTCAAATTTGGATTGTCATCAAATTTGTACGTTCTTTAAGACTTGCCTCTTTTCTGTGAAGATGGCCGAATTCATCAAATTATGAAAAGTGGAAGCACAATGGTGAGCAAGAACTAGAAAGTTCGGTAAAAAATCAAAGGGGTCTTCGGGTGATTTGAGTTTTTAAGGAGGGTTTTGGAATTAAACTTGGCGAAGGTAAATTGAATTGAACTCGTCAAAATGGAAAATGAATGCGCCTTGTTGAGGAGGTTTGAGAGTGGGTGGTCCACAATTCTTGACTTCCATCGTCGATGCCGGAAAATGGTTCAGAAAGCTGCGTTCTCTCAGGGTTCCAAAAATAGACCTGTAGATTCTGATTTGTTGCATTATTTGATGTTAGAAGATCATGGATAGGGGCGCCTCGACGAGTAGAATCCACCCGTGACATGGGTAATCCGTGGGTATCATCGCAGGAGGTTGTGCCGCCAATATTTGTGAATGCGAGTAGGTGGTTTTGAGGTGTAAATCCGGCCAACTTAGGAAGCATTGATGCCCGATGTTGGGTGGTTTAAATAGAGGGCATTCAGTGCTTTCTAGTGGTATGGTTGTCTGGTGGTTTGGGTGGTGGTTAGCCGGAGTAGAGTGATTGGCGGTTGCGGTGGCGAGTCGGGGTGGAGGGTGGGGTGAAGTAGAGAGATAATGAATAGTTTTTGTTTTTGTTTTTGTTTTTATTTTTTTTTATTTTTTTATTTAATATGGTAAATTGCAAAATTACTATTTCACTCGTTTTAAATTTGGTCAAAATCAGCTCATTTGATCAACTAACGGCAAATTTCATCCATTTGGACCTCTACCGCATATTTTTGAAAGGTTTGGGATTTGTGATAGTATAAAATAAAGGTTGAGATAAAATCTACAAAAAACGAAAAGGTTAGGGACCACTATTGCAATTTTCCCAATATTTTTGCTTAAAATTTTAATTTATATTTCAGAGCATAAATATATTTATTTTGAATTTAGCACATGGTGCCAACATACCATAATTTTTATTGACTGATAGTAAAACGCAAATTCATGCATTTTTCTACGATAAATATGATGCTGCGTTGAAGCAGTATAGTTGAACGATCTATTAATAATAACTATCTTCCTCACTTAGGTCGGCAATTGATATTGAAAATTTAAAAGCAGATACGCTTTCACAAGGTTCAAGTGAAAGTTAAAAAAAATTAAAATAAAATTAGATGGTTATTGCCATTAAGGTTAATTCCACAACTTCAATAAATGTAATGGATTTTCTTGTTCCCTTTTTAAGGATGAGACGAATTTAACGATGGAGCAATAAGTTGGGGAAAATGTTAATTTCCCTTCCCTTTCATCCTATCCAAAATTAGCTTGTCAATTTTTCTATTCCCACAATCCAGCTGTCGTTGCTGTTTGGCAGTGGCAAATGACCAATCAACAGGCTTCCACATGGATGACATTTTAGAATTTTACTGACAAAGATAATCACTTGATAAGAATATCTTAAGCGTTTCTGTAATAAAGCAACGAGTCTCAAGAAAGCCATCATCCAGCAGCAGCTTTAAGGCTGGGATTTGGCTATATTTGCATGCTCTAATTAGAGAAGTTCAATATGCCTAGCCACCATTGTGTAGACACGCGCGTTGATTGTGTTGGTGCAGATACACTTAGTTGTGGCAATCGAGTCGAGCGGCTCGACCGCTCGGCTAGTACTGTAGCGGCCCACGAGCCGCTCGGGCTCGTCAAAAAAGAGCCCGAGCACAAGCCGAGCAGGCCAGCTCGACAGGCTCGGCTCGTTTTTGACGAGCGGCTCGTTTTTTTACTCGGCTCGTACTGTAGCGGCCCACTAGTCACTCGGGCTCGTCAAAAAACGAGCCCGAGCACGAGCCGAGCAGGCCGGCTCGTTTTTGGAGAGCGACTCGTCCATTTTTTTTTTTTTTAAAAGAATGATAGTTACAAAAAAAAAAAATTCAAAAAAAGCGAGCCCGAGTAGCTCGGCTCGGCTCGCTACAGTACGAGCTCGTGGGCCGAGCCGAGCTCGCCCACGAGCAAACGAGCTGAGCACAAGCTCGGCTTGTCTTATAACGAGCCACGAGCTCGTGGGTAGATACACTTGAGTACTTGGAGCCATTTCATAAATGAAACCATTTGGCCTCACGTAATCAAACCCAAATTCGAACCGACAGTTTCAGATCGAGTTCGTTTCTACCCATAATATTTTTGTTAAAAAATTGTGAGTTAACGGTACAACTTAAACTTAAATAAATTTATACTTCATTTCTAATAATTTAAATTTTATTATAAGATAGTTCAACAAACGCTAGAGATTACATAAACTAAACTCAAAAATGTCTTGACAAGTTTGTAGAGGGGAAAAGGAAGCCTCAACTAAGGTTGATAATGACATGCCCCCACACACAACCGATTTTGTCTATACCCTTCCATTTTCGTCAGATTTTCGTCATCAGATATCAGACATGGATGATCTGATGATGACATCACGATCTTAATTCCAATATTGTCTTTTATTGTTCAATTATTTGATCGGTTATCTTCGTTTAAGATTGGCACCAAAAAAATAAAAAGATTTACAAAGATACATATTTCAACACTTTTTAATCCCTTGCAAATATGTCACCAAATAGTATCAAATATATAGTATAATAGGATTCAATTCTAGTTGTAGCACTGTGTGCGATGCCTCAAAAGGATTTGTGGGACAAGCAGTACATAAAGTGCGATATCAAGAGTGGTTACGAGTAAAAGTGACCTAATTTCTTTATTTTTAACCGGATCGAAACCTCCAATTTTAGTTACTTCGATTCTGGTTAAAATGAGCACCCCTACCATTGTGTCAAGGTAGAAGTCGTGAGTTCGAGTATTCATAGAATGAATAAAGAGGGTTTTAATCAAAATAATTGTACTACTCCTGAATTCTTACCTCATTCCTTTATCCACGATCACGAATAACTCCGTTTGACAAATTTAAAAAGAAAAATAGTAATAGATTCTACGAAATATGTGGATAATAATGAATAGTAGTTATTAATATATTCTTGAAATTAATATTTGACTTTGATTGAATTTATAAACCATTTTAAAATTGATATCCAAACGAAGCATTACTATGTTTATTTTACTAATTATACTAGGTTATAAACCAGATTAGGTTCAAACCTGCATTATAACAGACAAGTCCAGTTAGTGCTTGTCATTAACCTTAACTATAAGT